CATTAAGCAGACAATGTTAGCTGACTTGTTGCTCTATTTTAGTCTACCTAAACAATCAATGGATACACCAAAATCTCATGTGGCAAATAAATATAAACACAAGAATGAAACATCCCATTCTGTCAACAATTCCCTTTTTAATCACTTTCAATACACTGAAACTAATTAATTGCACTGAATAAGACAGAAAAGGGCACGGGAGGATAGCTGTCTTCGGGAGAGAAGTACATTACTTTTAGTCCAAGGCTCCTCTCAGAAAAGCAGCATTTCCAGGAAAGAACACAAATTCAGAAATTAAAGGAACAAAATTATAAACTGGTATAGTTTGAATAATAAAAATCATCAGTTTTTCTTACAAGAATTTCAATTTATTATTAAGCTCAAGAATTACAGCATATAGGTGCACAGAGTTCAATATTAATCTCCACTCAGGAGTAGCAAATTTTCTGAATGACATAAAATGTAGCAGTTACTAAATGTTTCTCTAAGTCAGAAAGTTTGTTTTTTAGGTTGAAGGAATATGTCATCACATAATTAAAGCAATGTACTTGCCACCCGTTGTTACACACTGAAAAAAAAAGGTAATAAAACCCCAAACATTGTTCAAATAAACCCAGACTGACAAAGGGCCGTACTGCACATTGGTTGCACCATTGAATAGAGTGCTATGAGCACTAAAGTTACTCAATTTCAGAGGCCTTTGAAACATATGACTAATGAATATCAGAAAAAACAGCTAGAAGCTGATTTTATGGTGTGACTGACAGTTCATGGCATATGAAGTTTCGCAGTGAAAGAAGAATAAGACATTGCAAATTCTGTTTTCTTGGGATTACCTCAATTCTATTCAATACAACAGTAAAACTTATCAAGTACTGTACAGAACGTAACTACTCTCAAACTGAGAACATTTCAGAGCATTCCAAAGATTATAACAAACTCAATTCCTTAATAAACTTTAAAAGTTTAACTAAAAAAGTAGAAGAGATTGGTTAATTTTGCTCCCTCTATCACAGTTTCAAAACTATTTTTTAAAAAGCATTAAGAATACCAATATAAGAAAGATTACTGGCAAATATAATAATTTTCTTATTAGTCTTAGAGTATTAATGTCTGTGGCTTTTGGTAAAGGACAGATCATCACCAGTGCATGTTGTTGCAAAATATCATACACCTTGCTTTAATTGCAATTGTGAAATATCACTGTGTTGTAACAGCATAAAATTAGTACACAGCATAACTGCTTCTGATTTCACAAAATCAAATGCAAAATAATCTACACTAATTAGAATATTTCTTAAAGTAATGTGAAAATAAGCACTTCTATGATCTTCATTACAGCAATCAGTATCATGTGACAGTGAACACACCACATTTCAATTATAGTTTTACATTATCCAAATTCCATTACAAATAACAATTTCTTTAAGTACACACAGAAAAAACTTTTATAAAACTTTATCTGAAAGAATGCCATAAAGAGCAAAATATTTTGAACTGTAATTAAGGCATGCTCTCTCACCTTTGGTGGAAGTCTGGAATTCTCAAAGATCTTTGCAATGGCAGACAAAATACTGCACATGAGTGCGGAAATCAGCATCATCACTCCAACTGCTGTCAACCAGGACATACTGCAGAAATAGCACAAACTTTCAGCTGATGTGCATATAATGACGTGAACTGCACAGAGCATCAGACACATCAAGTAAAACAGCAGAGAGAACAGTGAAGGGGAGAGAGGCACTTCAAATTCTGCCCGGCTACTCAGGGCTTTTGGAACACTGAGCAAAAGGAGCAGCAGAACCTAGAAAAAAATGGAGAATTAATAGTTAAAGTGGGGCTAGCTAAAACATACAGTGAGCATTCACACAAAAAATCATCACAGATGTTATCAACCCTGTCACTCTGCTAATATACATACTTCATTTAAAAAAAAAAAAAAAAAAAGCTAAGAACTAGGCTGGATTTATTGACCCCAGTAAGATATGACCATACAAAGGGGAGAATCAAAAATTGTATTTTCATTTATTAAGGGATTGGACACAAAAGTTAGCAGAGTTTAATAAATTACCATGTGCCTCCACACATGCGGTAACTGATCATAGGCATGATCTTTACTCCCTGCAAAGTAAGAGTTTTAACTCCTAATATCAAAGTAGTTCCTAGGAGAACAAATTTGACCAATAATTTGTCAACTGTAAATGCCCGAAGTTACATATGCACTCCACCAAAGGCCATTTATCTCACAATGTGTGAAATATGCATACACTTTTTGCTGAATTAAATAGCTTCCCAGACCTGGGAAAGCTCTTATCCTATCACACAAGTGTATGCTGCATTTCAAGCTTATGAATTCTCCTGGCTTGTTTTTTTTTACCTCTCCTCATCTCAACTTGATTTATTGTTTTTTTTTTTTAATTTTGTTTTGCTCTAACCTGCACACAGATCAGGCAGAATTCAAAGTTTTCTCTCAAGTATCTGTAGCAGTGTAGATGAATAATGACATTAATAATTTCTGCTACCCATGTACAAAGCTTTACAAGTAAAGGGAAAATTCATCCTCATGCTAAAATGTTTTGCAAGGGATGTGGCTGGAGCTAGGACTAGACTGAGCTCAATTAGCTTGTGCTAGGGCAAGATTAAAACAAACCAAGACAAAAACAACTTTATCGGACCACTGACAAACTAATCTTTTACTGTCACTTGTGAAGACCTCTACTTAAAATTTCTCCCACAATACAGTGAGGTATAGTAAAGTAGACCAAAAAAATTCCAATACATTGCAGTACTCTTCCATCTTCTTCATATTCTACTTCACACAGCTCACTTGGTTATGAAAATACAAGGTTTCACAGTATCAAACTGGCTTTTAATACAGCGTTTGCAATTAAAACAAAGACATGTTAGCATGATAGCAAAATGCTCAAACTGTAGTTATCTACAGAGCCAAATGTAGCTCTTTTGAGCAAATGCACTGTTATCAATTCATGTCCCAGAGGTATTCTCATCCGAAATACAGGATAAATGGCATTTATAGCATGGTGTAGTCACCTGTGAGATTCCTTACCCTTATTTTTTCAGTGACAGTAGAAAATACATATCAAGACAAAAAGATTTTAGAAAGCAAAGCAGTTTCTTGAGTACTGCACTTGAGAAAAAAACTCCAGCAGTTTTGCACCACGTCTTACAGTGATGCTGAGCAAGCTCTTATCAACCAAAATTTTCATGGTTAGTAGCTCGATGTTTCTTTTGATGGAGGCCTATTGAGTAAAATATCTGAGATCTGTTTTGTAGAAACGGTAAGCACGTACAACTGCATTCCAGAAAAAAAAAAAATAAAATCCAGTGCTTCAAGTTCAAAGCAACTGTCAAGGGCTTGAATGCACAGATTCCCAAAACAACAGAACAAAAAAGAAGTAAAAGCACTTCAGCTTTGTGCTGAGCTTTGTCGACCTCCAGATTTTCCATCTGTAGACTGGGAACAGAATTTACCAACTCATCTCCCAAGGGCACTGTGGAACTAACTCCTGTGGTCAGCAGAGTGATAAACCCCATTGAGCACTTTACCAGAAAGCCATTTCAGATGTGCTCTGTACACAGAGAACAGGGCATACAAGACACAGCACAGAGCCCTGCCAGGGCAAAGGAGATTCAAATACTCAACAGCTGCTCAGGTAGTGTTATCCATTCCAGGCACTGAACAGAACTGGTGTTACAGAAGTCACACAGTCTTGTACAGCACCACACACATGCAAGGACTAAATTAAGCTTCCAGTAGGTATTCCCATCCTAGGAAACAACACTTAGTCTTACAAAAGTTGACACTTGCGTCATCTAAAAGGTCAGTGCAAGCATGAAAGGTGTCCAGGCATGGTATCCCTTCAGCAAGGTTCTCAAAGTATAGCCACAGAGGATATTTGCAGCATTTGAGGTTTGCCCAAAATATCAATTGCAGAGAACCACTTAAAATTCCAGACATGGGATATCTTATTTTTATTCCTGCATGAGACACGAAATAGCAAACCAGCACCTTACAGCAAGTATTTATTTCAGGGCTTTACACCTATCAGAACAAAGAACAATTCTTGGAATTGTGACAATCACCCACACAAGATATTGTCTGTTCTGAGCAGTTATGCTCACTGTTGGATAAAGACAAACAGATAAGAACTTTCTTGACAGACTTTTTTCTTTTTAATGCAATAAAGCTACTCAAAAAGTAGAAGGCTAAGTAATATGCAAGTATTTAAGTTGTAGCACATCTGCATACTCACTGCAACTAGTTGCACCAAAACATAAGCTTGTATCAAAAGCTCTCTTGAAGAATTTTAAAGTTATATTGTAAAAAGAATATTAACCTCATCCAAGCAGAAAGTCAGACAACATTAAGAGTTCATACTCAGTAATTCCAAAGACCAGTAACAGTACACACTAGGTAGTCAAGAACCAAAAACTTTTATGTTTGTGCACTTAGCTTTTTCACAGAACAATGTATTTTTGTACCTCCATAATGATCACAGTCCCCACCATCATCGAATACATGTCATATTGTGCCACTTGTTTGCTTAGTGAAGAACTCAGAGTCTTCAGAGCCTCCAAATATTGTTTCAAGACTTTTTTGCCAAGACTTAAGATTATTTCTGAATTATTTCCCTCTAAATACAGTTTGATCCAGTTACCATGGGACTTTTCTGCTATCTTAAAATGTTCATATCCAGGATCTAAGGAGGAGGGGAGAAAAAGAAAAAAGAAAAGAGGTAAGAGGATTTATGAACAAAAGAGCATTAATCAGAAATGTGATCATATTTTTATATTTGTTTGTATAGTATAAGGAAAAAAAATGCTATGGGGGTTGAAACTTTATTCACTTCTAGAAAGTTACATTATCTTCCTGCAGCAAGACCATAATGAGCCTGTTACTCAGAATAAAAGCAATTAATCCCTAACCTGATAAAACGTCAAGACCTCTGAAAGTGACAAATGTACTAAAACATCCACTTACTCTTATAAAAGGTTTCCAGGACAAACTTAGTCAAATGCTTTAAATCCTGAAAAAAATTATGTTTTCCACTGGAGCCACTCATTATTCAGGCCCTATTGTACAAGCCAAGTGGGAAATGATCAAATAGCTGATCTCTGGAGGACACATCAAAGGACACATACAAAATATTAGGGAGCCTGATTTTGCTGCAAAGCTAATTAGAGTCAGTTGGTAACACGAAATCAAGCACACAGGATGCACGATTTTGAAGCAGTAACAGAAAAGTTAACAGCTCAAGTGTACATATTGGCTTCAGGCATTCAGACTATGAAGCTAGTACAAAGCAATCCTCATCAGTGAAACTTAGTAATTCTGTTAAGAGTGTAAGGATGGCCCACAGTCTAACTTGACGAAAAAAGAAAAAACCTGATGCTGCCACTAACCTATGGAAGCAAGACTCTCACAGCAGAAGGTGATTTCATGATGGCCTATCTACATCTAAAAAAGTTCTGACCTGAAGAAAAATAAACAAAATCCAAAACAAAACCAAACAAATCAATAAAAATTCTGAAAAAAAACCAACCTATAGGACACAGATCTGTTCTCTATACCCAGGCAATACTTTCTTGTAGAAATGTAGTTTTGATTAAGTCTTCTGATAAATATATGTATAACTGGGACTGCAGGTGAACACCGACAGCACATATGAAGACCGTAGTCTGCTTTCAGAACTGGGGATGAAGACAAGACTAGCACTAGAATACATCCCTGAAAGAAGTAATTTTAAATCAACTCCTTAAATTTCATAAATAAGGAATTACTGAATTCTGTGGGTTCAGGTTTCAATGTGAGTATGCTTTTTAGTATAGGTAGAGAGACATAAGTTGTTTTTCCTCTCTCTCTCTCATGCTATAGAAACATGTCTGCATAAGTTTAAAGGTTTGAGTGATGACAACAAGAGACACAGCAAAAAAGCAAACAGCCAAATCCTACATTTTAGAAGTCCTTTGCAAGTACAGCAGCAGTAGCTGAAGGAAAGCAAGCATAAATTTCATAAGCTTGTATCTCACTGGACATTATGCTATGTGTGAACTTTCACATATAGATATATATTTTTTACAATAAATAAATGTTCAGTTTCACTTCACATTAATAATCCTTGCTATTTCCCTGCAATCCTACTTGAAAAGTTAATGACAACTTAAGGGCGAAAAGCCCAATTTGAAATTTTTACATAACACGCCTATCATTATCTTCCCACCTTGCAGTCCTCATCTTATTTGCTAAAAATAGGGCAAACATTTCAACTATTAAAGCAATGACTGAAGTAAGTTTGGTGTCACAAAGACTAAAGTTATGGCTCATTTTTACTCCTGGTACATCAACAGTGTATCAGACTAGGAAAACAACCAGCATATTCTTTGTTAAGCCTTTTCAGCAAAAGCAAATTATTAAATTCAGAAACATTTTGAATTTCATTTCAAGTGAAAGAAGATGAAGCATTTCTATTCACAATTCTTGTACAGTTACGAAGGAATTGTGCTTACCATTCATAAGTCTCTCATCACTACAAAACACTTTGTGATCTACTACAGGCTGAATTCAAAGTGAGAATTTTAGAAAGCAATGTTTAACCCAGAATGTCCAGTCTGGTCTCCCAAGACTTAGAATCATAAAACCACAGAATGGTTTTGGTTGGAAGGGACCTTAGAGATCACCTAGTTCCAACCCCCCCTGCTATGGGCAGAGACACCTCCCACTAGACCAGGTTGCTCAAAGCCTCATCCAACCTGGCCTTGAACTTCTAACAGACTCCAAAGCATGCTAGTATGAAGGAGGCTTGAAGTTATCTGCTAGAAAGTACAATTCAGACAACAGCAAACACTTGTTTGATGGAGATAGCTGCCACTGTGCATGGAGACTTTAATTTCCCTACCGTACTTCTTTAAACAGTGAGTTTCCTAGAAAGTTCCTCTTCCAGTATATTTGAAATACGAGACAAACATTCATACCTTTGAGGAAATCCAGAAAGGATCATCTAAAATGAGCTTCAATCAAACTGAGATTTGACATGACACTATTTCATTAAACACAACATTGAAACAAGTTAAAGTTATATTTTGAAATCCAAATAAATTCTCTGCACATCTGCTCCTGGTAGCAGCTCTGCTCCCTTTTCACGCTTTTTGCCCAGTCTCCCTCTTATTCCTTTTAGTATTTTTATTTCACTCACATCTACCTCTTTCCATGCTACTGCCCACCAAACCCATTCTGTCCAGGTTATGCAACATGACTGTTACAGTGAAACCCACATTTATAGCTTTGGTATCTACTAAGCAAATGATTTAAAGATCCTGCAGAAAGGAATAAAGGACCACAGTTAACAAATTTCCTTTGAGAATTCCAATAATACCTATTAAATGGCACGTTTGTATGGAGTAAGTACAAAATTAGAAGGGTCTTAATCTCTGGGCTGTTAGAGAAGCATTTTGGTAACCGGTGGGTAACACTTGCAAGTAACTGCATGGGATACTCACACGGCAAAACCCAAAGCGAGCTTACGCAGTTACCAGTCTCCCAAAGAACTGGCAATGGTTTACTTGCATAGTATTACATGAGCATTTTCTGCCTTAGCCTCCCTCCAATTTTACCACAAGCAAATGGCTATGTAAGTGGCTATGCTTCTCAAGCATCTGCTTGACAACAATTTCACTTAGTTCCAGTCACAGGCAGCAATCATTTAAAAAAAAAAAATATAAACGTTACGAAAAGAATGGATAAAAGTGACTTCTCTGGTTCCAGAATATAAATCTCCCAGTAACAATCAAATTATTTGATTCAACACATGGATCTAATAAAAGTTCAGGATTAGTTCCAAATTGTGACATTAACCAAATTAATTAAAACTAGTGGACACTAATTTTAATAACAACATCCAACCTGCTCTTAAGCATGACTCTTCATTCCAGCGTGAAGTGCCTCTCAAAGAAACAATCCTAGTTCTCCATTCAGATGAATCTTCAGAAGTTCAGAACATAAGAGAAGCATTACTAGGTACCTACAGCTGACTACCTTACACTGAGGTATGAACTCCCTCAGAAACACAAAATGTGTTTCTCCACGCTTCTCATTTCAGCTTCTTCATTTTTGCCAGCTGCTTTTACTTTCCTTTTGCAGACTCTTTTTTTTAGGTGCATGTGTCTACCTCTAGCAACAGAAAACCTAACACCTAACATTAGCACTTATTAGTATGCTTCAAAAAGTCTTTTTCAAAATAATCAAGCCCTTACTTGAGCTTCAAGTTTCTCATTTTAAATTTTATTTACCAAAACCCAAGTCCCATGAAACACTGTACCACCTCTTGGTTTGAAAATGCACGTTAGTAGGAACAAACTTTGGAGGAAAAAAAAAAAAAAAAAAGAATAAAGTTACTGAGCTGCCTCTATTCTGCTCTTTATTAACCCATGCACTTAAAACACACTTGAACACAAGGATATTTTTGTGTAGTGTTCCATTTTGTTCTTAATACTGGAGTGGATGAATCCAGGCAACTCCAAGGCTTCTTCATGAAACAGCACGGAAAGGTCATTCTGCCTTCCCATCTGACAGTGATTCATCTCAACTGACATCTGACTTGATCTTCTTGCATTAAAAAGGACAAAAAGATTGCACCAAAAATGAATGTATACATTATGCTATAGCTTACAACAGGTGAATCTTTTCTTACCGTGACTCAGTTGTCGTACTCAAGGTACTAATAGCTGGTGCCCTATCTCTGGGTTCCAGATTACAATACTCCCCACAGAAATTCCCCGTTTTCCCCTTCATCAGAACCTCCTCTTTTTGAGCTGAAGAGTTGAAAACAATAATTTTTTAAAAAGCAGCAAGGCTTAGGCTACCCCTGCAAGTATCTTTCACTTTAAACTGAAGGTCCAAATGCTTTTCCCTTAGCATTCAACTGAAATGTTATGATCCACCAGTTGTTACAAGCCAAGAATCTGCATTGGAAAGCTTGAACCTGCAGCAGCAAATGTGAGTGAGCTGTCTAAACAGGTTGTCTTCTGGGGTTTCTTTCCCTCAAAAAACCTGGCAGCACACCTTGTCTGTGGAATTCAAATTGTATGGCCCAAGACTTGTCAACACAACTCTGATGAGTGCCACATCGTCCACAACTAAAAACCAAAGGCTCAGATCAGGGTGAGCTAGAGCAGATTACTAAGAACTGTGTCCAGTCAGGTCTTGAATGTCTCCAGGTACAGAGACTCCACAGCCTCTTGGAGCAACTCATTCCAGTGTTCAAAAACCCTTACATAAAAAAATGGTTTTTTTCATTTAAACAAAATTTCCTGTATATCAATTTATGCCTACTGTTTCTTGTCTATTCACTGACTACCACCAAGCAGACCCTGGTTCAACCCTCTTTATTCCCTCCCACCATGTATTGCATACATTGATAAAGATCCCTGCTGAGTTGTCTTCTATCTAAGCTGAACAGTCCTAGCACCCTCAATCTCTCCTTGTATGATAGATGATCCAATTCCTTCATCACCTTCATGGCCATTCGCGGAACTCATTATATTATATCCATGTCTTATTTCTGCTGGGGAGCCCAGAATTGGACCCAGGACTCCAGACATGGTCTCACCACAGCTGAGAAAAGAGGAAGGATTGACCTGCTGATGACTGTCCTCCTAATGCAGCTTTGGATGCTGTTGGTCTTCCTTCCACGAGGGTGTATTGCTGGCTGATGTACAACTTGGTGTCCCCAGGGACACCTTGTCCTTCTCCACCAAGCTGCTTTCCAGACAGTCAGTACTCCATCTGGACTGGTGCATGGGATTATTTCTTCCTAGGTGTAGGATTCATCATTTTGTTTTGACGAAAAGTTCCTGTCAGCCCATTTCTCTAGCCTGTTGAAGTGGCTTTGAGTGGCAGCAGACTCACCTACTGTATCAACCACTCCTTGCAGTTTTGTATTGTGTGCAGACTTGTCAAGGAAGCACTCTGTCCCATCATCCAGGTCATTAATGAAGATGTTAAATAGTACTGGCCTGCGTCAAGCCCCAAAGTTGATCACTAGTGATTGGCTTCCAGGTGGACTGTGTGCTGCTGATCACAACCATGCGAGCCCAGCAGCAGAGCCACTTTTCAGACCACCTCACCGTCCAGTTATCTAGCCTGAACTGCAACAGAACGGGCTGAAGCACCATATGAGTACCACGGATGGTGAACACGGCGCTTCCTCAAGTTGTCTGAAGACCTACTGATTCTTCCCACACTGTCTGTAGCAGGCACCCATAACAATATTGTCCATGTTAGTTTGTCCACTAATCCTGACCCAGAAGTTCTCAACTGTTTCACCATCCACCTCCAGGCAGAGCTCCACGCACTGCCACTGCTCTCTCACGTAAAGGACAACTCTCCCTCCTGACCTTCCGAACTTACAATCATGGAATCATAGAATGGTTTGGGTTGGAAGGGAAAGTACCTTTAAAGATCATGCAGTCTAC